ACATGAAAAAAATTATAAATTATCAAGGGTTCATGAGGGAGGGAGGGTGGAGGAGGGGGGAAATGAGCTGATACCAAGGGCTCAAGTGGAAAGAAAATGTTCTGAAAATGATGATGGCCACATATGTACAAATGTGCTTGACACAATTGATGGATGTATAAAACATACCCCATTGATTTTGACTTATCCTGTCTTTTCATTTCTAATTTGTGTGTTCAAAAGACCGATCTAGCCATTCACAACTCCCCCATCTAGGCCACTGGAGATACTTTTATTTTTCAGTCAATTTATGCAATTTCTCCAAATAAAGTACTGAATCAGATCCAAAATGTTTTGCCATATGTACAGTAGGGGTTCCAAGTGGCACACTGTGTTTGACTTTTGTGTTATCTATTTCTCTTTTTTAATTAAGAGTGGAAGTTTCAAAACAGAGCACTACTTTTCAGACTTTCACTGGGTCACCATAAAAGAGCTAGTGGGGGATGCAGTGGGGTTTAGATGGTGTTTGGCTTGCCTGACATGGGGTCTTTTTTTTCCCAATCATTTTGTTGGGGGCTCAGACATGAGGTCTTTAGTGCTCCTAGTTACCTAATGAGCTCAAAACCACCCTAATGGTTTTTACTGACTAATCCATGCTTGAAACTTCTGTGACTCATAATAACGCATAGCTCTTTAAAAACAGAATTCGAAAATAGAAAATGTCAAAAGCCCAGATACAAACACAAAACTAAGTTCCCTAAAGAGTCACTGTCATTCTTTAATCAAGCCTCAGCTTTCTCCCAAGAAGCCGCTGTTGGTTTCAAGCTGCTGGCTTTATGGTTAACAGCCCAGCGCATAAGGAAGGCTAAAGAGAAATAACAGAGAAAGCCTCTGTCTTTTGACATATATATACATGTATATGTCTACATACACATATGAGTATGTATCTAGTTCCACTCTCTCTTTAACACCTGTTCAGCCTGCTTCCACTCATTGTTCACCATAGATCATTGTATCGCAAGTCTGTGTATGTAACAATATTTACTTCTGCTGCTTTTAACCCTTGCTCTCCTCCCAGTGTCATCCCAACTCCATCAATGACCTATCAGTAGTACTGGTGGCACAGATGGGTAAGCATTGGGCTGCTAACCCCAAAGTCCATGGCTCAAACCCACTGGATGCCTGGAGGGAGAAGGATGAAGCTCTCTGCTCCCGCCAAGATGTATAGCCTGGGAAACCCTCTATAGGGCGCTATGAGTCAGGAATGACTCGACAGCAGGGCGCTTGTTGGGGTATTTACCTACGCGGCCAATATAGCCACGAATGTGGTGGAGCACACAGGGGTCAAAGCTATGAAACCTTCTCAGATGTAAACACCTTGAAGCAATGAGTCCCTGATCCTGGTAGCTCAGCACCATGGTCTTGGGGTACACCAAGGTTAATTGGCCAAACCGTCCAAAAGGCAACATCCTACTTCGGTGAGTAGTGACTGGGGTCCTAAAAGTTCGTGAGCAGCCATCTAAGGTTCAGCTATTCTCTCCCTGTTCAGAGCAAAGAGTGAAGAAAACTGAAGACATGTGGAAACAATCAGTCCATTGGGCTAGCAAATCTTAGCCCCCCATCACCCTGAGACCAAAAGAACTAGAGAGTACCTGGTTACCATTACCAAATGCTCTGAAAGGGATCATAGTAGAAATTCCTGGATGGAGTGGGAGAAACATGGGGAACAAAACTTAAAATCATGAAAAGAAAAATCACCTTGACTACTTGGATAGAATGATGGGCCCTGTGAGACTATGACCCTTAGTCACCCTTCTGGTCTGGAAATGAACTCTTCCCTGTGGCTCCCTTTCCACCCAAGCAATAGACAGGTCTGTAAGGGAAGCAATACTGGAGAAGTGGGAACTCCTGAGAAGAAACAACCATTTGAGACCAGACAGGCTGCACTGAACCAAGGACAAAGGACAGAGGAAATGAACACAGCCCCACTATGCACAGATTGAATTTCACTTACAAACTCCTGAATATGATTTGTGGAGAATGTACAGTTTAACCACAGCAATAAATACTTTAACTTCAAAAAAAAGGAGTAATGGACACAGGAAATGCAGGAAGCGGGCTAACTGATGCTACATTGTGGGGATTGTAGTCTATGACATAAAATAAGATGGGTTAAAATAAAAACCGATTTGATCTCTCAACCTTCACCCGATTAACAAAATAAAATTAAAATAAGTCAGAATATGAAAGCCAACCATGAAAAAATATATATGAAAGCTATTCTGGGCTCTCCAAACCAAGGAACAGACTGGATTTGGCCTAGAGCCCATATTTGCAGACTCTTTGCTAGAACATCAACTCCAGGTGATTATTGTCTTCTTGGTCCACAGCTCGATCCCCAGCACCTGGACCAGTGCTTGACACCCAGTAGGCAATACATCTTTCTTTTTTTTTTTCCCTTTCTTTTTTTCCCTTTTTTCCCCTCCCTTCCTCCTCCCCTCTCCCCCATGTACCCTTGATAATTTATAAATTATTATTGTATCTTATATTACACTGCCCGGCGTCTCCCTTCACCCACCC